TTTATTGAAATTGATAGTTTAGTATTTGTTATGGAGAATAAGATGTAATTGTGCAAAGTTAAGTGCAACCAGTTTACAGTTAGCAAGTGAGTATGGTGGAATGGAGTTATATGATGCAAAAAATTTTGAATAATTAAGTTGAATAAAGAGTGTAGTAGTAAATTGTTTAAGTAGTGTAGTAAAGGTAAAGAGAAGTAGATCAAATGGAATAGTAATTGATTTGTCAATTGAGAAGTTGTATTCATGGATAAAGTCTGTTAGGAATTTAGGTTTTTTCCCTGCTATAACTTTAACAAGGTACATATAGTTGAATTTAAAAGTGGGTTTGTTATCTGTAACAGGTTTAATAACTTTTTCAAGGTATATATCGATAAGGTAAGGCTTAATGAAGTTGAAAATTTGGTGAGCTATAGCTGTATTAAATTTAATATTTTTCTCTATTTCTTCAGAGACAGAAAATTCTTTAAACCAATCAAGATCATTGGTTGTATCTCTTTGTTTTGGTAGAGATTTGTTTTGATTTTGATTTTGTTTGTCTTGGGTATGTTGTTGGTATTGTTGAGATGTTGTTTTTTTGAGAAGAAGAGTTTTGTAGATTTAGATTTTATCTTTAAAAGATAATGTTTTAAGTTTAATAAGAGAAGCAATAATTAATTGTTTAGGGTTTAGAGTAATATTAAGATGGGTTTTAAGTAAAGTAATAGCAATTTGGTGTTTGAAGTTGAGTAGAGTAGTAGGAGAAAGTGGTTTGAGCTTGATATTATATATTTTTGAAGAGCATAATCTGTGTATTAGAAAATTTTTAAAGATACAAAATATTATATAATCTGGTGTATGATTGCTTTGTTTAGTAGTAACACATGTGATGTTTTTAACTTTGCAAAGACAGCAAGTATGATAATGTTGGGAGTATGCAATAATAGCAGTAGATGTTGAATCAGTATGGTAATTCAGAAAAAGAATTTGTAGATTTGTAAAATCAATTTCTTGTTGATGTTTTTTAGGGATTGGAGAAGATGATAATTTGTCAGTAATAAAACTAAAGTATTTAGTAAAGATAGTAGCATTAGTTGTAGCAAGTGGTTGATCAAGTGTTGTTTAATGATTGATTTTGTAGTATTGGAAAGTAAAATTAGTATGAAATTTGCCACAAAGACAAATAGCAATGATAGGTTGTTAAGAAATAACAAAGTAGTGTTGTTGTTTTTTGAGTGCTTTATATGCTATAGGTCATGTATCAGGTAGTAGTACTTAAAGAGATTGAGGTTTGTTTTCATGTATTCCAACACTAAAGCAATTTTGGTATTTGAAATAATAGTAATCAATATCATAGAAGTTCAGATCTTGAGAAGTTAAAGTTGGCATAATGATGATGTGAGGATGTGATGAATAAGGAGTGTAACAAATAAGATGGTGTGACAAATAAGGGGTGTGAAATATAAAGAGTGTGACAAATAAGGTATAATCTTATGTGACAATTAGGTGATTGATGGATTGACGTGATCAACGTAAAACAAAATTTGTGTAATTTGTGTAATTTATTTAAAAATAAATTACTAAAATTAGGTTAAATCTAAAAATAAATGAAACAGAAATTTGAATTGTGTAAATAGATTTGTAATTTTGATTTATAATCCTAAATCTGTTATCTGGACATTCTAGAGGACCAGAATGTCCCAAAAAAAAGAAAAAATTTTAGCAAAAATTAAGCAAAATTTTTACAACAAAGTTTCAAAGTATTTTAGTTGTAAAATTCTTAATTTTTATCTGTTTATAATGTTTAATATATCAAATTAAAGCTAAGAATAAGCTGAATCTTTTTGTCTTAAGGAGCAGTAGCAATTTATTTAATAAAATTTTGAGTTTTTTAAGAGTAAGAAAAAAATTAAATTTAATTATATCTCTGTAATAAAGGGCTTTAGAGATATAAAACTAGGCTGCTTATATGTAAAATTTTGTCAGAAACAATTTTACTTAGGTAGCCAAAATGTGTTTACTTAATAAAATATTGAAAAAGTGCAGTTGTTTTTAGAGAAAACTTGGTACAAGTAATCGTTGTAAAGAGTTAGTGATTTGTGTCCTCGAAGTTATATATATTATAATTGTATAATAATTATATATGCCTATCTATACTAAAGATCAACTGAGCTTTTTTATTTTTTAGTTATTAAAGATTATTAATTTTAGAAATATAATTTATATATGATTAACAGTAACTTGGGAAATTAGTGAACCCAATATCTAGTAGTTTATATTAAAAAATAAAATCATATATTATTTATATTATTATAATCTACTTTATTTTGTTGGTAATCTTTTTTTTTTTTTTCTTTGCAATGTTGCAAACAAACGAATTTTTTATTAGGTATTTAGTAGTACATTCTTGGTTACCCATCTTGTATCACCACTACAATTATGCTGACTCATAATCTCATGCTGCTTTATTGAAGACCATCCAGATCAATATGTGCTACACTACTTGCACACTAATTCTATAAATAACTTAGTAGGGTTCTTGTACTACTGAGTTGCCCTAGGAAGGGTGTAGTATATACCCCCTAATCTTTCTATGTCCCACACATTTCCAGACTAGGCTTTTTGGTAATTTACACCGAGTCTGAGAACAAGTACTTGCGAGCCAAAGCTGCTACAGTTACCTACTACTGCCCTTGTAGAGTTTACCCAACCCCAATATATATTAACAATCCATACTTCCAGTTTCTCAAACTAAACTCTACTTCTGGTTTCCCAAACTTCCAAACCAGTTAGGCCGATAGGGCTGTGACCTGCTCTTGTTATCCACAGTTAGGTCCTTTTCTTCTGGTTTTCATCTGGCTGCCTGGTTGGTGGAGTGTTTTGCCAGAACACTTCAGTCCTGTTCGGTTTCACCTTTTTCTGCCATCTGGTTCCCCTTTTCAGATTATTAGGTAGTATTATCAAAGATCTGTGCTACCTCTCCACTCGGGTCTTGCCAAGCGGGCTTCCGTATTCTGTCAATCTGCTAGATTTATTTAGTAGCTTTACTCGGTTCGTGTAATTCATATATCACACGTGTTTCACTATCTCTCAGAACAAGCTGGTATAACCACATTACAGATTCTACAATCCAATAAAATATAGTTTTCTAAATACATTTTTCTGTAAATTCGAATTTTCATCACCAATAGGATTTGAACTCTGGTCCTGCCACTTGAGAGTGTGACAACTTACCAACTTCACTAAGTCGCCACACTCTTTTGGTAATTAATTTAAATAAATTTTAAATATAAAATTAATGAATAATTTAAATAAAATAATAAATAATAAAATAATAAAGTATATAAAATAAGATTTTATAATAATTTTATTTAATTATTATACAACTATTACAATTTAATATTCTTAGAAATTCTGTGATATGATTTATATTTTTTATAGCAAATCTGGCAGTAAAAGGAGTTAATTCTTTCTATAGACATCTGTATATCTCTATGCTTTTTTTGAAAACTTTCTAATTGTTATAATATTTATAGAATCAAAAGCCTCTAGTATAGTTTTTCTTAATTCTTAAAAAGTATAATTACAGTAGCTTTTTATATATTTTTTTATCATTTCTTAATAATATTTGATATAGTTCAATTTCAAATAAAACTTAAAATAAAAAAAATTTTGTAACCTTATTTAAGCACAATTTCTTCAAGAACATTTTTCTGTTTTATAAAGTTTAACTGTCTAGCCAATTTTCTTCTATTACAGCATAATTTGGTTTATCTTTTAAACATTTAATGTATTTGCCTCTTAATCATTTATTCTATATTCCTCTTTTTGTTATTATCTCTTTAATTTCTTTTGGTTGCTCTTTTTTTTTATCTGAATGATTTAATGAAAAAACTATTTCTTAAAACATGCTATTAGAAAATCAATTAGGATAAATTTTGGGTTGTTTATTACTATAACTAACATTTATTCTGTTTACTATTAATGCATTTTCAGTAAAGTCTTCATAGTTAGAACTGTTATCAAATCTAAAAACTAATATTGTATCTAGAAGCATAATTTTCAAAATGTCTTAGCTAACAATTTAACATTTCAATAACCTTCATAATTTGCTCTAATTTTTAATAACTCTGTAATATAATATTTCAAAATTTTGAAATAAGCTGCATATTATTCTTTAGTTAAATAAACTCAACTCAGTAGTTTACACAAAATTCACTAATATGAATATACCTGCCCTGTCCTTTTTGATATAATTTATATTTATCTATTAATAATTAAAATTAAAAAAAAGTATCAATACTTAAAAATTCAAAGTTTAAGACAAATAATGTTCATAATTTATTTTATAACATAAACAAACCTTTGAGACTTTATCTTGTTTTTTCATCATTATTTGTGGCTAATGTTATCTCATCATATGTTATTATATAGTACAATATTACTTTTTTCAGAAGAAATATTCTTTTTTACTAGTTTAATAAGATTTTAGTCATCATATTTAAGAAGAACAGAATCTAATTCTTCTATTATTAGCAAAAAACTGTTTGTTTATATTGTATCACATTCTTTTGCTTGTGTTCATCTATATATATATCTTTTCTCTACTTTTTACACTCTCAACCTAATTTTCTAAGCCATTCTTATGCTGTTTTCTCATATATTATTGTTTTTTTTCAATACCTAAGAATGAGAATACTTCATTTTCTATATGCTGTTTAAAACTTTAGGATTTATACTATATTTGTAACTTCTTAAATATGATATTATCTGTTTAAATATAGTTATTCTAAGTTATAAAGAATTAAAACATATAAAAAAATTATTATAAAAAAATATATACCTTTATGAATATTTTTTCATCATCAAGAAGACTTGATATCTTTGTGAATTTGTTATAATTATTTTTAAGAAGTTTTTATCACTTTAACCAAATTTGTGCCTATTTACTAATACATTGTGCTTTATAATCTTTCTATCCTAATGAACTAGCAATTGTTGTGCTTGCTTTTATTTTAGTCTAATTATAATAGTACTTTAATCGTAAATATTGCATTAATGCTTGCAAATAAACTCTTACATCTATTTGATTGTTTTTTTAATAACAAATCTAGCTCTTCAATTACTAATCTCATTTTTGTTTTCTCATCAATTTCAGCTAATACATCTGCTATTAGTTTTACTAATTTTGTTTCTATTAATTTCACCAATTTTATCTCTATTGATTTTACCAATTTCATCTTTATTGATTTTACTAATTCTATCTCTATTAATTCTACTAATTCCATCTTGATTGATTTTACTAATTTTGCCTCTATTAATTCTACTAATTCCACCTTAATTAATTTTTTCTCTATTGATTTACTTTTTATTAATGCTACTTTAGTTGATGTACATAGTTCTGTTAAAAATCCAAAAGTAAAAGTTGAAGCTAAGACAACATTAAAAGATGTTAAGATAGGAACTAAGTATATAGTAATAGGTTGAGTATTTTGTATAACCTTCTTTAGTCTCATTTTTTTGTGTCTTTGAGTTCTTTTAGAACCTCCAATATATATTATTTTGCCCAAAGATTTTTAAACATTGATATTTTTATCTGTTGTTAATAAAACAGCAAAATAATTAGAAGCCCTTTTATCAATATTATTATCTGACCAAATATGATTATCTAGATTTTTATAATTTGCATACTTTGTATGCTTATTGGCCCTAGCAGCTTTAAGTTGTTGTCTTTGTTTGTTTGAACAGATAATAATAACAAAAATAAAATAAGTGAATTGGAGTAAAATTCTAATTGTTCTAATCAAAACTTTGTGACTGGGATTAAGTTAATTTGAAGTATAATTAATTATTAGATAGTTTCTATATTCTTTTTATTTTATTTTATTTTATTTATTTATTATTTTTATTTTATTTTTTTATTTTATTTTATTTTTATTTTATTTTATTTTATTTTATTTATTTATTTATTTATTTTATTTTAATTGTTTTATTTTTTTTAATGAACAAGTTTAATCTACTTAGCTGATAACTATAATATATCTAAAGGAATGCTAGTATTTGTAATGTAAATTTTTCAGTAGATGTTTGTTACTCTTTATTTAATTCACTCTGTTATGCTTTAACTATATAACTTCATTACTCTTTAACTTCGAATTAAATTAAAATTTGAGCTTGCACTATCTCTATTATTATATTATTTATTATTTTTGCCTGACTATAATAGTTGCTGTTATTTTTATACTATTATTTTGCACAACCAATATTGCATTTTATTTTTTTTTGCATTTTATTTTTTTATTTTTTTTATTTTTTAATCTTCAAAGGTGATTTTTTTTGCATTTTATCATTTTATTGTATATATATTAATATATATTTTTTTAAGTTAGTTTATTTATTTATTTTTTTTTTGTATCAGCAGCCTCACCAGTATCTTTATTAGATCAAAGCATATACATACATATATTTAACTATCTAAGTTATAGATCTGACATTTCCTGGCTACTTCTATAGGCACCCAAAGATGGTTTGCTTCACCAGTTAAGGCTACTGCCTGTATCGGAAGACTGCACCAAGCTAGCCATTAAAGCCATACCAAAATGGCTTCACACTATTTACAATAAAGTCGTTAATCGCAGCAAACCAAGTACTTCCTTTTCTGTTAGCTTTCTCCTCTTTACTGATTTCTTCTTTCTTTTTAACTTTTCCTTTGGTTTGCTCTTAACTCTGACTATATTCTCCACAATTCATATTTGACTCCTTTTTGCTAGTAGCTGTTTTCCACCTTTTGGTCTCTTTTTTTTCTTCTTTTTTGAGTTTATTCCATTTTTCTTTTTTTAGTCATTAAGAAATATGCATTTTTGTTTTCAGATATTTTCATAAAAGTAATTTTAGACTAAGTTGACCACCGTGTGAGATAGCTTCTGGCTTCTTTTAGAGTTCTCACTAATTCAAGAATTTTCTTTGCAATTCTGTCTTTAATCAGTCCTTTAAGGATGCCAGCTCTCATCTCCTTCTTTTTTTCTTTCGTCGAACCCCAAAGAAAGCTTTTAAGTTGAGCCTTATCAAGATGACTGTGGGATTTTTCTGAGAGAGCTGTCTAAGCCAAGTTTGATGCTAACTGCTCTGCTTCTATTCACTTGGATTCATATTTCTCGCACAAAGTTAAATGTTCTTGATCTTCTTCTTCTCCTCTTGCGCATAATTTATATATTGGGCTGTTATATAGGTCTGGTCTTCTAGTAGCTAAGGTTTTAAGAACTGAAAGTTTCTTATATAAGCATTTGACTAGCACTCCTAAGTATCTATTCTTTTTTGCACTTGTATATTTAACTCCATTTTGATTTCTAATCTTTTTTCATAAAATAGGCCAATATTAGAATTGTCCATCATTATCAGGTTCTATTTTTGTAATTACTGATATAGATTTCTATTCTATCTCTGTTTTAAGCTCAAGTATTAGTTGTAAAAATTCTCTCATAGGAGCCTCTACTATTGTTTTTTCTCAGTATAAAGAGATATTTAATTCTTGTGTGAGTTTATCTATAATTTTTTTTCTATCTACTATTCTAGATCTTATTTTTGCCAGTTTATTTGCCATATTATTTTACCTATTTCTACTATGTCCTTTTACTTTTTCTAATTTTAACTATAATTCTTTCATTTTTGCTATATTTATAATATATTTTACTAAGTCATAATTTTCTACTTTTAACCTTTGTCTAGCTGGCTTATTCTAATTTTTATTTTCTAATCTAGCTAAAGCTGTTGCACTAACTGTATAGATTTTTATTTTTTTTCTTTTTGGTATAACTAAGAGTACACATCATATTTCCAGTAGCTCTGCTTTAGTTGAGGATGATCAGTTTTTTGCTTCGAGATATTCTTCATCGATGACTTCCTCCTTTTCTTTTATCTATTAGTACTCAGCTGCTCCTATTTTATCTGCTTCTGCTTGGGTTATTTTTCCATTTCTTCTTAAGAAGCCATCAGTATAGAAAGTGAACTGAGACAAGAAGCTGCATTGAAGTTTTTGATTCTTCTCTTTTAGGTAATTCTGTAAAGCTAGGCTGATTTATTGGTTTCTAATAATTTCTATATCCAAATCATAGATCTGGATGTCCTGCATTACTTTCTCATTTATAGAAATCTTTAGCTTATTACAAGTTACTGGAAAAAACAGCATTTTGTGATGAACTTTAAGAGTCTTTCCTTTTTGTTTGTCCACGATTTTGGTTATTGAGCCTCAAATTTTCTCTTTACTTATTCAGCTTCTGCAGGAGTTTTATTCTTTTTCTTTTCTAGTTTACAACCTTTGTATCTTTCAAGTTTTATACTTCTCATAACTGGCTCTTCATTTACTTTCCAGTGATCTGTAAGGATTTTTTCTCCTGTTTGTTAAGAGTTTGTCTGATTTCTGAGTAGTGGTTTTCTTTTGCTTCTTTAGTTTTGACCAGTATCTACTCTTTTTTCCTCCTGTTCACCTCTAATAGATCTGGTGTAATTTGCAGTGTCTAAGCACTGGGGCCACCTAGTCTATACTCTGACTTAACCAATCTGCTTTCCTTATCTTCAATTACTATTTCTTCAATTGTATGAAACTATTTCGCACTTTTCCCTCTGCTTGATCTATTTCTTAGCATCTTCAGTTGCTGCCAAGTTATCATATGATTTTCTAACTGTGTTAGTAGTTGTTTGAGTGAAATTATATTGAGTTTCCTGAGCATCGTTGCTACCAGTAGAGTAAAATTCTTTCCTAGAATATTCGCTAGTCTGTATTTTAGGTTCTCTGTTTCTAATTCTGCATTGTTGAACTTGAATGTGACTTTCAGCTCTCTGACCTAACATTATTAACAGGCCAAGTTGTTTTACCAAAGACATGCACAGATTTCAGACAGCCCTTCGAACTAGTTATTTTCAGCTGTGTCCAGCAGTTGAATACCTTGACTTAGTTTAAGTGAAGTTAGTATTTCTTCAGGACCTGCTGTATTTAGTCGTAAGTGTAGGCTGAAAACTTGCTTTGTTAGAAGTCAATTCCATAGTGAGTTGCAGCTTCCAATACTTCTATGCAGAATTGTACTGTTGCTTATAGTTCTTGCTAGCTCTATTCTATGTTTTGTTAAAACTAATATTGGTGTTTGTATATTATCAATTGTCTTTTTTGTGAACCTGGAGACCTACAGTATGTAGCACAGTTTTGAAACTATGCACATATTGTTTATATAAGATGCTTGCGCAACTGTTAATTTTTTTGGGTTTAGTATTCAGACTATTGAGTATACAATCTCCTTTGTTCTTGCTTTAACCAGTGACTCGTCTAACTTGTTATTAAGCCAAACTTCTAAGAATCTTGTAATCTTGTTTCTTCCTTCCTCTATCAGCCATTCACCACCAAAAAGAATTTTTCTATCTTCTCTTCTTTCCTCAGAATTGATGACAATTAGTTTGGATTTCTTTCCATTGATCTGTATATTATTGAACTTGAAGAACTCTTCAGCAATTTGGATTATTTCCTCCATTTGGTCTTTGCTTTCTGCAATTCATGTTGTGTCATCAGCATAGGCAATAACTGCTTGTGTCCATTCTTTACATGTTGTCTAGTTCAAACTGTAATTAAAAGGAATTTGTTAAGTTATGATATACCCTAATTTGAAATCTTCATTAACTCTCACAAGCAATGGATCATAAAAAATTCTCCAAACGAGAGGCGAGATCACCTCTTCTTGCTCAATTCCATCATTTATTTCAAAGCATTGTGTTGTACTTAGCTTCATAATAATTTTTGACTGTCTGTTCACAAAGAGGTTTATAATAAATCTAATCATTATTTGTAGAATTTTAAGTTTTTCCATTGCTAGCCCTAATGATTTTAAAGATATTGAGTTGAAAGCTTTTTTCATATCTTAAAATACTAGCTACAGTTCTTTTTTATGATTTACTGCATCTTCCATTATTGCATTTAAAATTTGCACTGGCTCTTCTGTTGAGTTCTCAGGCAACCTTGCAAAATTCAAACCTTTTAAGATATTATTTTCAACTAAGACTTGTGATAGTCTTCTAGCTACTATTTTAGTTACACACTTTCTAAATATTTATAAAAGCACTATAGGCCTAATATTGTTTAAGTTTTAGCGCCAGTCTGTATCTTTTGGAATTGGATATATTTGCAAGACTTTCAATTTTAAAGAGACATTGCCTGTTTGAATGCAATACTCTGCAAATGTTCGAAAAATTCTATGTGCTAGTATACTTGCTGCTTTAATTAATGTATTGGTAATTCCTGTAACTTCAGGAGCAGTATTTTCTTTAAGTCTCTAAGCATATCTTCTCACTCTTCTTCTGAGATATCTTGATTGAGATTCTTATACCACCCTTCTTGAATCTCTTCTTTTAGCTTATATATTTTTTTCTAATTCCTTTTCTATAGCTCTTAGTCAAAAGACTGAGGTCTAAATTGTTTTTAGTAATGCTTTCTTGTTTTTTTAAGGACTTCTTCTGGATCAGTAATTAGTTCTCC